GCCAGCAGCTCGGCTGCGCCAAGGCTGGCGGCCCGTGGCCGCGGCCGGCGCGGCGGCCGGCGCCGCCCGCCTTGCCTTCCTGTCTGCCTCCCGCGGACTAGGCTGCTATAGAAACCAGGCGCTGCCAGCCCTGCAGGGTGCGAGAAGGCAGGGCGCACGCGGCATGGGGGCTGCGGCCGCGCCAGCCATGCAGGCGGCAGCGCAAGCAGCGGGGGGGCGCCGCCCTGCGCGGCGCCCGGCTCGGTGGCAGCCAGTCGACACCTGCATGGGGGAGGCGTGCAGCAGGCGGGCGGCAGGCAGGCGGCAGGAGGCGGCAGCACCCACCAGCGAGATCTGAACCCCCGTGGCGAGGTTGGGGTATGCAGCCGCCATGGCCGCCGCCGCCGCCCCCGGCGCGCCCGGCACCGCCGCCTGCACCGCGCCCGCCACCGCCGCCGCCTGCTGCTGCTGCGCCGCCTTGATCGCCTCCGCCGTCACAATCTGGATGCCGCCGGCGGTCATGGTGGGGACGGGCATGGCCATGCCGGGCACGCCCGCCAGGGGCTGCACCCCCGGCGCCGCCGCCGCCGCCGCCGCCGCCGCCATCCCCGCGGGCTGCGCCGCCGCCTGGGGCACCGGCTGGGCCGCCGAGAAGAAGATGGGGTAGGGCGACTCTCCCAGCGGGTCGCCATTCACCTCAATGTGCAGCTGCAGGAGGGCGGGGAGGGAGGGAGTGGAAAGCGCGGGCGGCGAAAGCGGGGCTGGGTGGGTGCACCTCGTGTAGGGATATCGCTGCCGCCGTGCGGCAGCATGCAGCCTGCGAGCCTTGCAGCGAGTAGCTGTGCGCCGGCGATGGCAAGAAGGCGGCGTGAGCTGGCCAGGGCTGGAGGCGGCCGCGCCAACAGCGCCGCTGCTGCTGCTGCGCAGCACCCACCTGGTAGTTGCCCTTGGTGGGCACGGCGTAGGAGGCGGTGTAGGTGCCGTCGCCGTGGTCCACCACCTCCGCCTGGATGGGCTCCGGCTCCTCGGCCGCGCCCGGCGCCGCCGTCGGCTCCACCAGCACCAGGATGTGCGCGCCGCCCTCCCTGATGCGCTTGCCCGCGCTGTCCCTGGCCGTGATGGTGAGCTTGACGGGCTGGCACGCGGAGGCGCCCGAGAAGCCCGGGCCATGGGCCCGGCAGCGAGAGGCATCGATCGGGCCGGGTGGCTGCTCGGGGGCCGCCTGATCCTCGTCCTCCTCGCTGTCTCGCTCCACGCCGTGCTCGGCAGGCACGTCGGTGCCCTGCACGATCAGGCCGCCGGGCGGCGGGGGCGCCTCCAGGAAGAGCGGGCCCTTGGCGGGCTTGGCCTCGTCATCGCCGGCCTCCTTGGCCCCTCCCTCCCCTCCAGCCGCCGCTGCATCCTTGCCAGCCGCCTTGGCCGCCTGCTTGGCCCGAGTCTCTGCCAGAATCTGCGCCAGCAGAGGTGGGAGCGGGGGCACGTCCTCAGCCGCCTTTTGCCGTCTCAGGCGCTCCGCCTCATCCAGGCCAGCTGCGTCCATGGCGAAAATGGGTTGTCAGGAGGCGGAAAGCTATGTTGAGGTGGCCGTCGATTGGAAGGCAGGCCATGCCGATGAGCTGCATTCCCCAATCTGCACATGCATGCACATATATCTGCATCTGCTAGCTTGACTGCACGAAAAGGACAGTCTGCACAACTTGCAGCCCGGCCACTGTCGGCCGCCGTCACGCACTGCAGCGCGGCACCACTCAGACTTGCTGTGGTAACGGCAGATCGCAATGCAGCTTGCTCAGCTGCCGGGGCAACGCACTGTCGGTGGCACCACATGCCGCAGACACAGCCGCCGGCCGCTCAGGCCCTGTGCTGCGGCCAAGAAGGACAGCAATGCCGCCGCTGACGTGAAGGCGGCGCGCCTGTCCCGCATTCTGCGCCAGTATGATGCCGCAGGTGCGCCAGGCGACGGCCAGCGGCGGCGGCGGCGGCGGCACGCTTGCGAGCCTGCCAGCCTCGCTCCGCTGCATCGCGTTGCATGCCAGCACCACCGCGGTGGCCCCAGCACACGCGCTGTCGACACGCCCGCCCCTGCCATTGCCAAGCCCTCCCTCCCCACCCCGCTCCTCCCCACGCCGCGCCAACCCCCACCCTTGCGCGCCGCCACGCGCCCCGCCCCTCCCCCTGCGCCCGCCCCCGCAGGCCCCACCCAGCAGGCCGACCTGGAGCAGTACCTGGCGCAGCGCAACGAGCGCATGGGCGGCGAGGAGGCGGGGGCCAGCCGCGGACTGCGCGCATCCGCCGGTAGCCGCGCATCCAGCGAGCGCGAGCTGGCCCGCCTCGACCTCTACATGCCGCTGGGGCCCAACGGGTGCGCCGCCTGGCAGGGGGTGCGCGGGGTGGCAAGCGCGCGCCGCCGCGGCGCGGGGCGCCACGCCATGCCGCGCGGCGTGGGCCGCTGCACCGTGCCTGCCACGCCGCGCGGATTCCGCTGCGCTGCGCTCCGTGTGCAGAGCTTGCGTGCACGGCGCAGCCAGCACAGCCCGCCGCCTGCCCGCCTGCCCAGCACCGTGCCGCCCCACCCCCTGCCGTCCTGCAGCGTGCGCCAGGCCAACTACGGGCTGCACGGCGGGGGCGAGGTGCACTGGTGGGCGCTGCGGGTGAAGGCGGGGCGCGAGAAGCAGGTGGCCGAGGCGCTGGAGCGGCTGGTGGTGGAGCTGCTGCCGCCGCTGGAGGCGGCGGAGGAGGGGGGTGCCCCCCGCCAGCGCACCATCGAGACCTGGGTGCCCAAGAAGAGCCTGCGGGTGTGGAGCCCCAAGTGAGTCGGCAGGGCGGCGGCTGCCAGGCGGCGGCCGGTTGGCGGCGGCCGGCAGGCGGTGGCGGCGCGGCAGGCGCCTCGCCGCCGCCTCCCTACCCCCCCACGCCGCCATCCACCCTCCCTCCACACACACACATACCTCTATCCTCCGCAGCAGCCAGCCCACCCCGACCCCTGCCCACCAGCCACACTCACCCACCCGCAACCCCCCACCCTCCCTCACTCACCCCGCAGGACGGGCAAGATGGGCAGCAAGGTGCTGCGCTACCCGGCCACCTACCCCGCCGTGCTGGCCAGCGGCGACAACGGCGGCTGGGTGCTAGCGCGCACCGTGCTGGACTCGGAGCTGTACAGCAGGGTCAAGGCCAACCCCTCCTTCATGTGAGGGGCCCGCGCACGTGGGGGGATAGGGAGAGAGTGTGTGTGTGTGTGTGTGTGGCCCTCCTGGGGGGCTCGGCACGCCAGGCGGCGGCGCCCGACTCCGCTCCCGGCGCATG